GGGTCAGGGGGTCACGGGGGGGGTCAGGGGGGCACAGGGGGGGTCAGAGGCTCACACCGTGCCCCAGCCTGGCCCAGGGGGGGCACAGGGGGGGGCTCCGTTCGAGGGGCACCAGGGGGACACCAGGGCTGGGATTTGGGGAGCACCAGGGCTGGAATTTGGGGGCACCAGGGGGGCACCAGAGCTGGGATTTGGGGAGCACCAGGGGGGCACCAGAGCTGGGATTTGGGGGGCACCGAGGTTTGAGCTGGGGACACCTGGACTTGTCTCAAGGGGCACCAGGGGGGCACCGGGACCTGAATTTGGGGGGCACCTGGGGGGCACCAGAGCTGGAATCTGGGGGGCACCTGGGGGGCACCAGGACACAAATCTGGGGGGCACCAGGGGGGCACCGGGATGTGAATTTGGGGGGCACCAGCAGCACCAGCAGCACCAGCAGCTCGGACTGGGAGCACTGGGAGTCGCACACGGCCCCTGTGCCCATCCCCCACTGCGGGGATGGACCAGAGCTCCACATGGCCACCAGTACAGACCAGTATGGACCAGTACAGACCGGTACACACCAGTACAGACTGGTACGGACCAGCAGAAACCAACACAGACCAGTACATACTGGTACAAACAGGAGCAAACCAGTAGAGACCAGTACGACCCAGTACAGACCAGTACAAACCAGCACAGACCAGTACAAACTGGTACAGAGCAATACAAACCAGTAGAGACCGGTACAAACCGGTACAGACCAGTACAAACCAGTCCAGACCAGTACAAACTGGTGCAGACCAATACAAACCAGTAGAGACCGGTACAAACTGGTACAGACCAGTACAAACCAGTAAAGACCAATGCAGCCCGGCACAGATCTGCACGGACCAGTACAAACCAGTAACGCCCAGTACAGACCAGTAACCCCCGGTACAAACCAGTAACGCCCAGTACAAACCAGTAACGCCCAGTACAGACCAGTAACCCCTGGAACAAACCAGTAACGCCCAGTACAAACCAGTAACGCCCAGTACAGACCAGCAACCCCCGGTACAAACCAGTAACACCCAGTACAAACCATTAACACCCACTACAAACCAGTAACGCCCAGTACAGACCAGTAACCCCCGGTACAAACCAGTAACCCCCAATACAAACCAATAACCCCCAGTACAAACCAGTAACCCCCAATACAAACCAGTAACGCCCAGTACAAACCAGTCCAGACCGCTAAACCCCCAGAGGCCCCTCCCCCATCCCTCCCCCACGTGCTCCACCCCCCCCGCCCCTCCCCACCCGTTCGGCCCCGCCCCCTTCTGTTGCCCCTCCCCCACCTGGTTGGCCTCCATCCACCTGGCCGCCTCCTGCACGTGATGGAATTCCACGAAGGCGAATCCTCGGCTCTGACCTGGAAACGGGCCGGGGGTGTCGGGGGGTGGGGGAGCACCCATGGGTGCTGCTGGGACCCCCCCCCACACCTCCCCGGGGACCCCCTGGGATGGGGAGGGGCACCCGTGGGTGGTCCCGGGACCCTTCAGGGATGCTGGAGGTGAGGCCCTGCAGGTGCTCCTGGTGCCCCTCGAGGGTCTTGGGGGGTCCTGGGGAAGGTTCTGGCACCCCTGGGTGCTCCTGGGGAAGGTTCTGGCACCCCTGGGTGCTCCTGGGGAAGGTTCTGGCACCCCTGGGTGCTCCTAAAGAAGGTTCTGGCACCCCTGGGTGCTCCTAAAGAAGGTTCTGGCACCCCTGGGTGCTCCTTGAGATGGGACCAGCACCCCTGGGTGCTCCTGGAGAAGGTTCTGGCACCCCTGGGTGCCCCCCGAGCCTGGTGCAGCACCCCTGGGTGCTCCTAGGGAAGGTTCTGGCACCCCTGGGTGCTCCTGGGGACAGGGACAGTGCCCCTGGTTTTGGATCTGGCACCCCTGGGTGCCCTTAAGGAAGGTTCTGGCACCCCTGGGTGCCCCCCAAATCTGGTGCAGCACCCCTGGGTGCCCCTAAAGACAGGATCAGCACCCCTGGGTGCTCCTAAGGGGGGACAGACACCCCTGGGTGTCCCTGGGGAAAGGATGAGCACCCCTGGGTGCCCCTGAGAGGGGAACAGACACCCCTGGGTGCCCCTAAAGACAGGACCAGCACCCCTGGGTGCTCCTGGGAAAGGGATGAGCACCTCTGGGTGCCCCCAAAGATGGGACCAGCACCCCTGGGTGCTCCTGAGGGGGGAACAGACACCCCTGGGTGCCCCCGAGAACAAACCTGGCACCCCTGGGTGCCCCTAAAGACAGGATCAGCACCCCTGGGTGCTCCTGGGGAGGGGACGGACACCCCTGGGTGTCCCTGGGAACGGGATCAGCACCCCTGGGTGCTCCTAAAGATGGGACCAGCACCCCTGGGTGCCCCTAGGGACAGGACAAGCACCCCTGGGTGCTCCTGGGGAGGGGACAAACACCCCTGGGTGCTCCTGGGGACAGGACAAGCACCCCTGGGTGCTCCTGGGGAGGGGACAAACACCCCTGGGTGCTCCTGGGGACAGGACAAGCACCCCTGGGTGCTCCTGGGGAGGGGATGGACACCCCTGGGTGTCCCTGGGAACGGGATCAGCACCCCTGGGTGCCCCTAAAGATGGGATCAGCACCCCTGGGTGCTCCTGAGAAAGTGACAGACACCCCTGGGTGCCCCCTGAGCCCGGGATCAGCACCCCTGGGTGCCCGAAAGAGGTGACAAACACCCCTGGGTGCCCCCTGAGTATGGGAGAAACGCTCTCAGGTGCCCCTAAGGACAGGACCAGCACCCCTGGGTGCCCCTGAGAAGGTGACAGAGACCCCCAGGTGCCCCTGAGAAGGTGACAGAGACCCCTGGGTGCTCTTTGCATAGGACAGACACCCCCGGGTGTCCCCTCAGGACCAGCCCAGCCCCCCCAGGTGCCCCTGGAACAGGTACAGACCCCCCCACACGAGGGTTCGGGGTGCCCCCCACCCCAAAGGATGCCAGGAGGGAGATGTGGGGAGCCCAGGTGTGCAGGGGTGGAGCCCAGATGTGCAGGGGTGGAGCCCAGATGTGCAGGGGAGGGCCCAGGTGTGCAGGGGAGGGCCCAGGTGTGCAGGGGTGGAGCCCAGGTGTGCAGGAAGGGCCCAGATGAGGCTCACCTGAGGATTTGTTGCGCATCAGCCGCACCTCACGGGGCTGCACCCCCTGCGCCTGCAGCTGCGCCCGGATCTGTGGGGACAGGGCTGGGTCACCTGGGGACACCTGGGGACACCTGGGGACAGGACTGGGACACCTGGGGATACCTGGGGACACCTGGGGACAGGGCTGGGTCACCTGGGGACACCTGGGGACAGGACTGGGACACCTGGGGACAGGACTGGGACACCTGGGGACACCTGGGGACAGGGCTGGGACACCTGGGGACACCTGGGGACAGGACTGGGACACCTGGGGACACCCCAGAGAGCACCTGGGAGCACTCAGGGCTGAGCAAACCTCAAACCCCACCTGAGCCTCCTCACCTGAGAGCCCCCAAAATGTTCCCAGGTGAGTGGGAGGGGCCCAGGTGACCTCGGGGTGTCCCAGGGACAGGGGTGGGGTGTGGGGGCGTGGCCAAGGGCTCACCTGGGTTACCTGGGGGGGCGTGGCCATAACACCTCAGGTGTGTTTAAAGCAGCTCGTGAATGGGGGCGGGGCTTAGCACGGGTGTGACTCCAAGGGGGCGTGGCCAAACCATTGATGGACATTTGGGAACACAGGTGGGATTTAAAGGGACAGAACCTCTCAAGGGGGCGGGACCACCACAAATTAGACCCACCCTTCATGGGGGCGTGGCCACAGCGAAAGGGGCGTGGCCATCCCAGAAGGGAGCGGCTATGGCTGAAGGGGGAGGAGCTATCCCAGGAAAAGGGGCGGAGCTTCCCCCCCAAAAAAAGGAGGCGTGGCCAGAGAGGGCGGGGCTCACGTCGTTCTCGGTGGCCGCCTGGGGCAGCATGCGCAGCATGACGATGGTGCTGGCCCTCGGCTCCTCCTCGGCGCCCTCCCGGTAATCCTGGTCCCGGTAATCGCCGTCGGCGCCGAACGGCAGCGCCGGGGGGTCCCGGGGAGGCTCCCGGGGCTGCTCCCGTTTCCGGGGGGGCTCCGAGTTCTCGTAGGAGGCCTGGGGGAGGGGAGGGAGGGATGTGTGGGAGGGGGCTCGGCGCCCACCCGCCGTGGGGTGAGCCCTCCCCGGCAGCCGGCGTGTTGGAGTCTGAGATCCAGAGTGTGTGCCCTTGTTTCTAACGCTCACTTGTAGGACTCAAAGAAACGCCGAATTTCATAGGATATGAAATTCGTCAGCGCGTTTTCACGGCGATACGCGAAAACAAACGTTAAATTTAGACAGGGAAAGTCTAAGCGTGCAGATTAAAAACTTTCTTAAATCGCTGGGTGAAAAAGTAGTTTAGAGAGCAGGAGACAAGATGAAGGATTTAAGGTGTTGTCTCTTGTTCTTCTTTCTCCTTCGTGCTCTTCCCCGAGGGGTTTTTGGGGAGTAGGAAGTGACTGGGTAAAAAATACCGCAGCGCAGCGCACAGGTGTTGGGTCACTGGGGCACTAAGAATAGTAATTTAGTTATTAAATCATTAAATTTAATATTAGAAATATTTTAAATTATTAAAAATAATTTTATTAGCAAAAGCTAAATAATTATAAATAACTTATTCTATTTAGCATCTGTTAATTAGGTAAATGGGCGTATAAAAGACCTCGAAGAGGATCTTTGTTGGCCATTTTACCCCTTTTCTATCACAGTGCACACCTTGCACCTTATAACGCCGATAAAAACAAACAACTGAGACTGAAAAAGAGAAAACTGCCGTCCTCTTGATAGTAAAAGGTCTTAAAATCTTACAAAGTTTGGGGACTTAGGTTTGGAAAGCCCTGGGAAAAGCAGGCCCTGGGAAATGTTAGGCCTTGTGCCTGCTAAAGACCAGGTCAAGCTGCACCTGTGTAATCAGTAGATGATAAATGATACAATTGTTAGATGTGATTAGATATAATTATTGTTTAGAGAACGCGAGGAACAACGTTGGGGGGCTGGGGGGGATCACGAGAAATCCGTGCTCGGGTAAAAACAATGCATACAACAGAACAACGAATGTTTAATAATTAATACGCGAGCTGCACAACGATAGAGCACGAAATACGTTTAACTCAAAACCAAACGGGGTCAGATTCGGGTCTGTGTACCCCTGACACCCAGAGCTCTTTTAAACAAAGCACCTTCACGTAACCATTCGTGGTTACGTGTGCTCCTGAACGCTGACCCTCTCGTCAACCCTCAGTTCAGAGGGAAAAAGAACCCAAATCCAAGCCCCATAACGAGACACCGGCTCACCTGAGGGGGGGTCCCGGCAGCGGGGGGCCCCTCCGGGGGTCCCCCGTAGCCGCGATAGTCCATGTCGCGATAGTCGTGGTCGCGCTGGCTGCGGGAGCCGTCCTCGGAGAGGGGTGGGGCACCCCCGTAACGCCCCGTTCGGTCCCCACGGCCGCCCCTGGCGAGGGGATGGGGGTCAGCCGTGCACCCCAAACCTTTACGGGGTCCCCAGATGGCTCCTTCCACCTTCTGGGGTCCCCAAAGTCCCCCCCTGCCCTCGGTGGTCGCCAAATGCCCTCGCCCCCCACCACGGTATCGCCAAATATCCCCAAATTCCCCGGCGTCACCTCCCCAAAATATGAAATTTATTTTCATGGGGGTCCTCAGGAGCTCCCTGGATGTTTTTCCCCCCCCATTCCCCGGTTTTGGGGATCCTCAGGTTCCCCCTCCCCTACCTGCGCTCGTATTCCATGGTGGCAGCACCTGTGAGGGCAGCAAGTGGTCAGACTGGGAGGAACTGGGGGCTGAAGGAACTGGGAAAGCGCTGGGGATGGACTGGGAGAAACTACCTTGAAAATTCTGTGGTAAACTGGGAAAGGTGAAAGGGGAGCGAAAATGGAACTGGGATGAACTGGGGAGCACTGGGCCTTGTTCAAGGGAGCAGGAGCACACAGGACCACCCTCACACCCCGCCCCTAATTAGCATGCGAGCCCACACCTCCTAATTAACATGCATAATCCGCATGAGAAATGAGCGTGGAAATTCCAGCCCCGCGTCCCGCTCTCACACCCCCTCCCTCACAAACTGCACCGGGAGTTGCGCTCCGCCCCGCCCCTCCCGGTGAGTCCCGCCCCTCCCGGTGAGTCCCTCCCATCCCCACTGACCCCTCCCCATCCCGGCCGGGCCCGTTCCGCCCCTTACGGACGTTCCGACCTTCCCGAGCGCCGCCGCCGCCGCTCCCGAGCACCAAAATGGCGGCGCCGCTCCCGCTCAGCGAAACCCGTCCCGCCCGCCAACCCTCGTCGCACTCCCATTGGGCGAGACTCCCGCCAGTCCTAAAAAAAAACGCGTTCTAATTGGTCCTCGCTGTACAGGGGGCGGTGCAGCGCTACGGCCGGCTATGATTGGCTGCGGAGCAAGCACCGTGAGGGAGCGGGTGGGACAAAGCGAATGCAGCGCTGTGATTGGCGGGACTGAAGCGGCGATGCGAGGTCGCGATTGGCCGGGTTGAGCGGAAGAGGCGAGTCGGAGCGCCGGGACAAGATGGCGGCGCTGTGGCGGGGGCTGCGGGCGCTGAGGGCGCTGCCCGCCGGGGCTCGGGGCCGCTCGGCCGCGTCTCCCGGGGCCGTGGCGCTGCCGCGGCCGCTCGGAGCCGACGCGCACGAGGAGGAGCCGATGCTGGTGGCGCAGAAAAAGGTGAGAGGCCAAGGACAAAGCGGGAGGGGCGGGGCGGGGGTGTGAGGGGGGATGGAGGGTGGGCGTGGTCAGAGGGTGGGCGGGGCCTCACTTGGCCGGGCTTTTGTGTTTTTTGAGGGGGCGTGGCCTACTTGTAGTGGGCGTGGCTTAACGTGAGCGGCGCTTTGCTATGCTAAAAGTAGGCGGGGTTTAATTAGGGGCGGGGCTTGTGCCGAATTTGGGGAGGGGGGGTCACACCTGGGGTCCGGAAAGGACGTGACCTGTGCCGAATTTGGGGAGGGGGACACACCCGGTGACCCTCAGGGAGGTGTGTGGTGGGAAAGGAAGGGGCGTGGCCTGGGCTGAATTTGGGGAGGGGGTTGGGCGCACCTGAGGGGGGGGTCTCAGCAGGTTGTGCCCCCCCCTCACAGAACCCCGATTACCACGGATTCTCGGCCGACCCCGAAGCCGATGTCACCAACATGCGCGCCGCCTTCCTGGCCGGCATCTCCATCGCCATCGTCCTCGGCTCCGTCTTTGTGCATTACCTGCCCGACTACGGGTCCGTGAGGGGGGGGTCTCACCCGGGAAACCCCCCCGGGGTAAATGGGGGAGGGGGACAGCCCCTTGGGGAACCGACGGAGGGGCCGGCGTTGACATTTTTGGGGTTTTTAGAGGGGTTTTGGGTGTTGTGGGGTCTCACGAGAGCTCTGTGAGAACTTCACGGGGAATTTAGGAGCCGGCACGATGCCCCTGTGGGGGTCTCCACGGATTCTTTTTGGGTTTTGGGGTCCGTAGCGCCCTTGGCAGCTCTGGGGGTGTCCGGAGGAGCCCGTAGGGAGGAGATTTGGGGGATCTGGGAGAGGATTTAGGGTGGCTGCAGAGCCCTGTGGGGGCTGTGGGAGGGTTAAGGAGGTGGGGAATGGTTAGGGTGGTCTCGGGGGACCTGTAGGGACACCTGGGTGCTTGAGGAGGGAGGAATTTGCACACCTGGCGGGGAATTTGGGGTGTCCCCATGAATTCCCCGAGGTGTGTGGCTCACCTGTCCGTTCCCCCACAGGCTGCAGCAGTGGGCCCGGCGCGAGGCCGAGATCCAGGTGCGGGAGCGGGAGCGCCGGGGGCTGCCCCTGCTCACCTCCAACTACTACGACCCCGATCGCCTCTCCCTGCCCCCCTCGGAGTGACCCCCGGACCCCCTTCTTGGCTTGTGAATAAAATTCTGGGTCCCCCTGACTCCCGGGCCTTTTATTTCGGGGGTGGAGGAATGAGAAACTACATCTCCCAGCGGCCCTTGCGAGGCGTGACGTCACCAGACAGCGACGCCGACCGGAAATGGCGCGCTGGTCCCCGCGGCCCCTCCCATAAGCCCCCATATGTCCCCATAGCCCCCTCCCATGGCCCCCCTCAGCCACTGGAGCCCCGCAGAACCTGCCAGAGAGCCCCTGGAGACCCCCGGGGCTCCCCACGCCCCCCGTGGGCTCCCCTCGGCCTCCTTTTGCCTCCTCAGATCCTCCCCACAGCTCTGTGTAGCACCCCCACAGCTCTCCGGAGTCCCCCAGAGATTTCTGAGCGTTCCTGCGTTGCTTTCAAAGCCTCTTACTTCAAATTTTCCATTCGCTCAGCTGAATAAAGCCGCGTAACTCAGCGTGACGCTACGTAAAATCTCCTGCGCTTTCTCGTGAGCTCTCTGAGCGCTCCTGGGAGCCTCTCATCCTCTTTAACCCCACACAAACCGGGCCCAGGTCCCTATAGCCCCCCCACGAGCCCCTATAGCTCCCGTATAGCTCCCTCCCGCTCTCCGCCATTTCCAGCCCCGTGTCCCCTCCCGGCCGCCGTCGGGGCGTCACGAGGCCGCGCAAAGGGGCGGGGCCTTCCTCATCCGGGTCCTTTCGGCAGGAAAAGGGGCGTGGCCAGCCGGGGCGCGCCCGCCCAATCCTCGCGTCGGGCGAGGCGGGGAGGCAGGGGGGCGGGCGGTGGCGGGAGGCGGCAGCCAATGGGAGCGCGGCGCCGGGGGGAACCGACCAATGGGAGAGCGCGAGGGGCGTGGCCTCGCTCGCGCAGGGAGGGGGCGGCGGGTGGCAGCGGCTGCGGCCGCCATCTTGTCGCGGAGGAGCCGAGCGGAGCGGGCGGGACCCGGCGGCGGGGCCTGGACAGCGACATTGGTGCGGGGCAGGGGGCGAGCCCGGGGGTCCTCGGGGGTTGCCCAGGGCGGGAGGGGCGCGGGGAGGCGGCCCCGGGGCGGGCGAGTGCGGGCCCGCCTTGAGGGAGCGGGCGCCGGGCCCTGAGGGGGGCGGAGGGGGGGAGGGGGAAGCTGTGAGGGGAACCCCCCCCACCCCCCCCCACGGGGACCCTCAGGATGGGGAGGGCGGGCCGGGACCGCGACCCCCGCTCGGGGACCCCCGGGGATGGGGAACCCCCTGTTCGGGGACCCCCGGGGATGGGGAACCCCCACAAAGGAGGCCCCGAGAGCGGGGTGGGACCCCCGGGACCCCCGCGGGCCCCTCGGTGCTGGGAGCCCTCAGGGATGGGGGGGGGGGGGATGCTGTTCCTGGGTCTGGGGGG